CACAGAAAAGACAAGAAGCCAGAACCGGACCAAAGACAGTGCGATGGAAACGGTCCCTCTTGCACACTTGAACCCAGAGGGGGGGGAGGCCGAAACAAACGAAAGGAACAGCCAAAGGCTGATCAGCCTCCCTTGAATAGTTGCACTTGCATTAATAAAAAAGGAAAGAAAAGTACATAACACAATGAGCACTAAGCTCTATCACTATCCTCCCTCCAAAGAGACATAAAATAGGGAGGAATATTACAATTATCACTTCTCCAGCAAAAATTACCAAAACAAGCCAAGCGAGCACAGTAATCGGCCGGGGCATTGCTAGCCCGAGGGACAAACTGGAAGAGAACTTGCTTGAACTCAAGCAGGAAAGTAAGGTCGTGCCCCTCGGTGTGAAGATGAAGCCGATTTCGCCGGTCAAAGGATCCTTGAAGCCATCTAATAGCATTGCGGCAGTCCCCCTCAATGATGATTCCATCAAGCTCCGTCATCCAAGGCTCCATGATGTCTTTAATAGAAAGTGCCGCCATAATCTCCGCCGTGGTAATGTCCCAATGTTCTATTTTGCTCCCCGCGGCCACCAGAAGCCGTCCCAAGTGGTCCCGAACGACTACCCCGAGCCCTGTGACTGTCGATTGCTGCATGGAGGCGTCCACATTAAACTTCGCCCATCCCGGAGGGGGGGTGCACCAAAAACGGTTGGGAGACAGCCCAGAAGGCTGAGAGGTACACCATTGCTCAAAGAGGGGCATAGAGTAAGGCTTCGGCAGCATGGAAAGGGCGTTGGCAGCAATCACAGCAGGTGTTCCGTGCGGTCTACCGTGAATCATGTCGTTTCGGGCTCTCCAACTTTGGTAGATAATATAGCAGTAAAGTCTGCCAAAGCTAGCATTGTTCAAGGCCGCATGATGGAGGCCCTGGATTAAATCATCCAGAGAGTGAAAATCAGGGACAGCAAATCCCCATTTAGCGAGAATACCCAACGTGATTTTCAGCTGTTCACAATGGAGTAAC